CTTAACACTTCTTAACCTCAATTTTGACATATGTTAAAGGGGGATAAATTTTATATAACATAACAAAAAATTAGATTGATATATTTTGATATAGTGGCGTTGTACTGCTTCAAACTTTGTTTCTCGGGTGCAATGCGCCATGACGATTCGCGCAATGCGTCGCAAATCCGCCAACCCCATGTAAACAAAATCTATTGAAGTTAGTTGTAAGGTTTTTTCTCCGTTTTTCTCTCTAAAACAAACAAGGTAAACTGTAAAAACTGAGAGGCAACCAATTTTGAAGTTTCGAAGAAACAGAAAGACGCACGAGGTATTTTTTTTTTCAAAATTAAAAAGAAGGATGATGGTGATTGAAATTAGCATAATTTCACTTTGCACGAGCTGCACGTATTTATAAAATACACGTCATCTAGTTATGAAACACGATCTGCTGTATTTTAGTTTTGCCATGGATGACATGGATGAGATTTTCCTTCGTGTTTTAGACAGTACTTAGTTGTTTTTGTTTTGGAATAACATCGACATTGGCGAGTAGTAGAACGAAAATATAATTCAGTGGTAGAGTCATGGAAGTAATAAGAGAAACCCTTTGAAAGAGATGTTTGTCTACTCCAACTAAACCTCCCGCGAAAATGGCAACATTTGCCCCTCGGAGACAGCGTACCAGCATAACGGAACGAGGAAGAAGTGCAAGAAAACAAATCAAGCCGCCATAACTCAGTGACAGCGGCAGTGTCTAATGGACAAACCACATCGCAAGCCCTGACCGAAGTCGAAAACAAGCGACATTTCTAAGCAGAGTCCCAGTCCACCGCATCACACCTTTTTGCTCGGACGGGCTCGTTTCACCGCCCAACCTTTATCCGCCCTGGACGTTAGTCCCGTTGCCCCGTTGCACCTACCTTTTCTTTTCTTTTTTTTTGTGTGTGTCGTATTATAAATTTATATTGTATATTACAAGAGGAGTACCCAATAAAGCTGTGGAAAAAAAAAATTCCAAAGAAAGTCTTATACGGGATAACTCAAAATGAAGTGAATGAAGAGTAAATAAAGACTGATTAAAGTAATGGCAATTGGTCACCTGTTCACCACACCCTATCAATCCACCAAAAAAAAGAAAACGACAACAATTTAACTAAAAGTAGTAATTGAAGAAGAAATAGGACTGTAGTAGGTGACTGATAAGCCGGTTTGTTTGTTCTTGTTTTTTATCTATTTGGTAATTCATCGAATTCATCAAGGCAGCTACTAGTGCCAGTCCCTCCTGAGTGCTGAATTTTCAAGATGGCGTCGCTTTGTTATTTTCTAGTTTCATCCTGTCGTTCAGCACTTTTTGCCCTTTCAAAATGTAACCTATGCAGTATTTCGAGCTTTTTGATATTTTCTCCGGCTGCTGAACATACTTTACAGCGAAATATGAAAGAAAATTCACGAAGAGGACTTAAAACAAACACGAAGGGATCGGCCTGTTTGCTAGAAAAAGCTTGGAAACTATAACAAATGTGAGTTTTCTAATTTCTTCCTGTTTCAATGGCCCAAAATGATTATTAGTGTTTTGGTTGCATGGATGATAGTAGACTGCAATTTGGCTGTCAGAGTTGTTCTGTCGTTTTAGTTGTGCGGTGTAGATCAATTCAAAAATGCCCGATTTTTTGCTCGTTTGCAGACACTGAGTTTAGGTAAGATAAAATAAGAAAATTTTAGTCTTGTTGGTGGCTGCTTAACAAATCTTATGGTTTCAGAAAGTAGTTCTGTGATGTATTGTATCGCATGCAAAAAGTAAACTTCGCTCGTTAAATTTTTTAAGGGTTCTGTGAGTGTCAGAAAATGGTGAAAATTTGCTTATAAAAATGGCGTCCGAGAGGGTCGAATAAAGTGAAGCTCGAATCTCTAATACAAGAGCAGTGAAGAACCTATGTTTATTATATTCGTTCATTACTCCACCTAAGCTATCTATATGAACTTATTCTGTTGACCCCCTTCCGTTGACACTTTTAACATTTTGCCCGGTTTTCTCTGACAACCACTCCGGTGAATTAAGGAATGGGGCAGTGCAAACTTGGAGGGGGGTGGTCTGTTTTAGTAGGGATTTTACCTTTCGCATAGACATTTTAAATTCAATATCTACTCCCCACAAGCGTTCATTTTTCATTATTACTAATGTGTTATCTTTGTCACGTGACTTGTCACACCCATTTTTGACTTTTTATTTCAATCCAAATTTACACCACTTTATAAATAACAATTATAATTTAATTCATTTTTTGTCAATGACTATCGACACAAAGTTTATGGAATTGATCGGGGTTTTCTTAAATTATCTACGTTTTGTAAACTATAACCTTTCTTGTTAAGAGGGAGACTGGGACGAGAGAAAAATATCTAATAATTACGAAGGAATGGATCATTTCACAAATCCCCGATTAAGTTAGCTTACTTGACTGTAAATGAAATATTATGGAAGGAAAAACGATTGTGGTCACATTCAGTAAAGTGGTGTAATCTGCAAAGCCCAAATTTTGCATAATTATGGGCGTGGCTGGTCACGTGATCTGAAAAAAGTAGTGTTTAAGGTCCAAAGTGGTTCTGGTCTTAAACACAGCGGTGTAAGGTTAAAATGAAGGAAGATACTGGAAAAAACAAGATCGAATCATAAAACCCCGCATATAACGAGGACCCATGCCTTAATTCACCTGAGCACTCTTAAATCCGTAATCCACAAATCGAGTGAAGCGGCGAACTGCTCCCCGTCTCCTTTCTGCCTTTCCGCGTCTCTTCGCACCGTTGTTTGACCTGTAATTGTTTGTGTGAGTGCGTGCATTTGATAGAGACTAGCCAATCATTAAGATGTATTTTTTTTAACAGCTGGAGTGATCCCGAATCGGCATTACTAACTTAATTAATAAAGGTAAAGGTAAAGGAGAAAAAAATTCTAAAAGTAGGAACGTAAAGACAAAGAAAAGACAGAAAAAAAAGCACACAAACTCGATTGCCAGGATTCAAGCCCGCGCTTCTTCCCCAGCTGTTAGCTATGCGTGCCTGAAACTTTACCACGCAGCCAAGGAATAAAAATGCATGATATGTTCGATCTCTCAATATTATGTCACGATCAATCGAGCGACCCACCGTCTTAAAAGAAACACTTCTCGCGTGGTTTCAAATGGAAATAAGGGTAAACAAAAGTGACGTTAATCGTGCAAATATCTTTTGCAGAAAAAGTTTTAAGGCAGAAGAGAGCGTGACCTTCCAAAACATCTTTTTCTTCAATGGCCGACTTTCGTGATGTAGTATCGGTGCTGCCAGCATCCCGACTAATAAAGGCAAGTAGAATCTTTGTGGCTCTGCAAAAAGCTAATCAACCGTGAAAAATCAAGGAGTCGTTCCTGGCGTTTTGATTGTTATCGTAGTCGAGCCCGCAACATTAAAAAAGGGGCTGCTTGTGAATTAATTGGCGCCAACAAAGGGCACAATTTCAGTTTAATTTATTTCTTTAAGTCATTCTGATATATTACAGTCCGCATAATTATGTCATTCCGCAAGCCATGCCACATGCCATTCCGCAAACTCATTCCGTCTTTTACCCTCACCGGTTTTGAAACAAGCTACTCTTAGTAAGCTTACTTCGCCTTGCTGGATGCGTAAGAAGGTTGAAAAGTCTTAATCGATTCTGGCCTTACTTGATGGCTTTCCGAGATGCATGTCGACCGGTAAGCTTGAGTAATAATATCGCATTTGATTTTTTTTTTCTGGTTTCATAAAGTCGAACATTGTTTATGCCGTCATTTTACGCACATTTGTAAGATTTGAGACAACGATCTGACCTAGTACAGAACTTAAAAAGTCTTTAGACATTTTCTGACCGCGACTAAAAAAGAAAACGTTCTGTTGAATAGTTTAGTAATCCCTTTGTTTGTGAAAAGAAATTTTTGAGGGATGTTCATCTTGAAAAATAGCAAACACAGCGAAGGCGACTTAAATCTTAAGGCTTAAATCTGCAAGATTTTATTCGTGACTCAGGATTTTCCGTAACACTTCACTCTCGATACATATCTTCGTGAACAAAAATTGTTGTCCTTTTAAATGTTTCGTTGAATTATATTTCTTATCTTGACTGTTTGTCAAGATCTCTTTCTTATCGCTTTGCCAGTTGTTGTTTTCAGTCGTCCAGTAACATCCATACAGGGGTACTTAAAAGAGGGTCTCAATGGGGTGGTGGCATTTACGGTTATCGGCTAAAATGTTGGCTCTTTTACGGCTATCGGTTAATTTTTTTCAGTTACGGTTAACTATAAAGTGGAAAATTAATTTCTTTGTTTCAAAGAGTTAACTATTAATAAAAAGCTATTTTACTGTCACGCCAGTAAAATGTAGTTAATGGAACGTGACGCCGGTTATCAGTAACCCTTTCATGGCGGTTCTTGTTCAATAAAGTAGTTGTGTAGTCAAGCTGCCAAGGTCAGCAAGCTCTAAGATACATTGTATTCTAGCGTAGAACTTTACGGCCTTGTTGTCTTTAGCATGCTAGTACGATCCACAGCATTGGCCAACTTTTTCAATGCACTATTCATGGCTAAGAGTTCGCACGTGCAACGCTGAGCTGCCTTGTAGTACAGCCTTTTCTACTGGCTATGCCAGCAGACGTTTGTCTAGCTATAAAAGCTAGAACAAGTGTTCAGAGTTCACTTGGCTTCTGTTATTCAGCAAGGTTAACGCTCAGTATACGATTCTTGTAAAATTTTTAAAATGGCTCGCCCTCGTCGTACTATTTCGCACTCGAACCGTGCATCCAGCCGAGGTGAACAGGATCTCTCCGCGCTATCAAGCGAAGTGCTCAAACTCCGTCTTCAAGCCCTGAACCTCCCCATTACGGGATCCAAAGGGCAGCTGCTAAATCGACTGAAGCGGCCTTGCCGGGAAAAGTGGCCACATCGACCACAGCGCAACCAAAGCGAGTTTCCAAGGCTAAAGCTCGTAAGGGGCGCCCTGCTACGAGAACCACCATGGCGACCGGGCGCTCGTCGGAAAGCCTTTCAGCGAACCTCTGCAACGTTAATAACGAAGACAACGCCCTGTCAGACCGCGCTTTCTTGTCTTCTATCGAGGACATGATCAAGTCGGATCCTGAGCAGGACGAGTCCAACCTCCAACAGAACACCGGTTTCAGCCAAACTCAGCGTGCAGCAATCGAGGCCATCGTGACTGATTCAGTCCGCTCCACCATAACAACCCTTCAAACTTCGCCAGCCGCGCAGCTCCCTTCTGCCTCGCCTCAAAATCTCTTCACACCTGGCATGGCTTCCCCTCTAGGGATTTCTAGGCCAGTAGACAAGATTTTGGAGGACAAAATACTCAGGGGTGGGTACATTGACTTTGCGTTACTTTTGCCCGATACATTATACCAGTCCCAGACCCCTGAAATTCAGCTTCGTTTGGACGACTCGTCCTCAGGCCCCATGGGTTCTCCGGTTACCATGGTCAGAAAGAAAAAAACGGTAATTGATACCTTCCCCAAGTGGCTCGACGCTTTCATGACCTACATGTTAATACTCGTGAATGCCTACCCACGAAGGGCGCTCGAGCTTATCAAATACCAGCAAATTATCAGCAGAGCGGTCGCTAAATTTAAGGGTTTGGCCTGGCTATCGTGCGACCAGCAGTTCCGTCGCCGGGCGGCCTATGACTTGTCCCTGAGCTGGGATAAGGTAGACCTTGAGCTATGGACAGTGACTTTCGCAGGCCTCGCTAAGCCCCACTGCAATGTTTGCTCGAGTCCCTATCACGCTGAGGATGTCTGTCCTTCTGCTGACCTTAACAGAAAATCTCGCCGCCCCCAGTCTGTGTGCTTCGACTTCAACAAGTCCTCTGGCTGCCTGCGCCGAAATTGCAGCTACCCCCACGTGTGCCGCCGCTGCTATTCCAGCACCCACCCCGGCCTGGAATGCACCCAGCCACAGCCCAGCAGCGCCAACAAGGCCCCAAGACCTAGCGACCGCAGCAAGAAGTAAAGTGGAGCAGCAACGGCTTAATCACAAGCCTTTAGTATCCTCGCCTATTGACATTTATCGTTTAGAGTTAGAATTAGCCACTCATCCTAACAGAAACTTTGTATATAATCTGCTTAGTACGCTCAAGGAGGGTGCTCGCATTGGCTATACAGGGCCGCGTTCAGACCGGGTCTCCCCGAACCTCATTTCGGCAGCACAGCACCCTGAAGTCGTTTCTTTGAATTTGCAGAAGGAAATAGCCCTGGGAAGGTTAGCAGGTCCCTACCCCTCCCCCCGTTACCTACGTTTCAGTGTCATCCGGTAGGCGTTATCCCCAAAAAGCACTCACCTGAATGGCGCACTATTTACCATCTCTCCTTCCCCCAGGGTACTAGCATTAACGACCACATTCCTAAAGACCCCTACTATCTAAGGTATGTACGGGTTGACGATGCCATCCGTATCCTCCAGTTCCTGGCAAGTGGAGCTTTTGTGGCCAAGACTGATCTCAAATCAGCCTTTCGTCTGATACCTATTCATCCGGACTACTGGAACTTACTAGGCATTTATTGGCAATCCCAATACTATGTAGACATGTACCTACCCTTCGGGCTCCGTTCGGCCCCGTTCCTCTTTAATCAGTTGTCCGACGGCCTCGAGTGGATCCTTAAAAATAACTACGGTATCCAGCATGTTATTCACATCCTGGACGATTTCTTTATTGCCGAGCGAAACAAATTCAGATGCAGCGCTTCCGGGTCCTTGCCCCCGAAGCCGACCAGAATCCTTGTACCATCCCGCCTTCGCTCATGACCCTCTGAGAGAGGAAGTCCTGCGGTATGCTACCTGGGGTCTTGCTGAGAACACAAATCGGGCCTACAGCCCTGGGGAAAAACGGTCTTTACAATTTTGCCTTATGAATCGTATCTTCAGCTCAGACGGGGATGTGTTACCTGCCTCTGAAGGGACCCTTTTATACTTTGCTTCATACCTAGCGAGAACAGTACGGCATAGTACTATTAAACTCTATTTAGCCGCCGTTCGCAGCCTTCACGTGACAGCAGGGTACCCTAATCCCCTGAAAGGCAAGCTCCTTCTCCGCAAGCTTTTGCGCGGCATTCTTCGCTATCAGGGCAACCAGCGCGCCCGTCGCCTACCTGTAACCCCTGAGGTTCTTCTCGCAATTCGTCCTATCTTACAGTCATGGCTTAGTCTCCGGTATTTTTCTATGATCTTGGCCGCGTTCAACTTGGCCTTTTTCGCTTTCCTGCAGTGTAGCGAATTTACCTACAGCGGGATTCGCAAATTTCGCGAACAATTCGATCTTTCTACCGATTGCATAACGTTTCACCCCAGCCTGGCGTGCCCGCAGCGCATAACAGTATATCTAAAATCGTCTAAGATAGACATTGCTAGGGAAGGTCAGTCACTCACTATAGCTCGCACCTCGACGCCCCTTTGCCCCGTTGCAGCTATGCAAGAGTATTTTCTCTTAGTCAGGCCTCGGCATGGACCTTTGTTTTACTTTGCATCAGGTCGTTACCTGACTCGGGGCATCGTATCCGACCTCCTTATGGTTAGTGCTAGGGTGGCTGGCCTCCCTTATCAAAGCCTAAAAGGGCATAGCTTTCGCATCGGTGCGGCCTCCGTTGCAGCCACCGCCGGCTTGCCAGATTGGCTTATATAAGTTCTTGGTCGCTGGTCCTCGGACTGTTACCAGCTGTATATCAGAACTCCTCAATCGACATTAGAGTCTGTGGCTCCCAGGATGGCTATTGTTTCTGGACGCTTCCAGCCAATGTAGCCGCCGTTTTTTCTACTTGTTTATTCGTTTTATCTTTGGGCTTGGGGGGATGCATTGCCTTGCATGCATCAGTGGCGGGTAAGTCTGCGCAGCGACTTCCCCCAAGCTTGTTTGCCGTGTTGCCGTTTAATATCACCTGCAAACCGATACTCTTGTCCGATCCAGCACGTGCTGTATTGCATTCAGCTCGTAGTGCTCGGGAGATAAGTGAGGTTCTTTGGTCACGCCATCGCCGGGAGTCGCATCAGGCTAACCTAGCGAAAGGCAGTGCTCCCCCATTAACGCCAACTTCTCATTATTTGTTTTTACAATTTAGTTATGCGTTTAACATGCATCGCGAAGGAACAGAGACATTAACCTGTATTTCTTTGTATCTTTAAAGCAAAATAAATGTCTTAGGATCATCTCGGGATGAAATAAGTTATTCTTCTGAAAATTTTTAGTATTTCATAAATCATGCTTTGAGAGTATTTTACTTCCAATATCATTTTACGCATAGAAATGTTAACTATGAAAAAGCTTTTCATCTTTTGTATCTTGGCATGATTTCCTTTTCTTCAGGGGCTACTGATTCGTTCTTCGCGTCGCTTTGTATTTGATACTCTCTTCTCTTTTTACTATCACGATCGGGTCTTTACCCCACTGAAGAACAGATTGTACAACATGAACTAAAAAAGAACAAGCATACAATTGAGACTCAAACATTTCTGTGACTCTCACATTTTCAAGTGTCGGAGCCAAGATGAGAAGTACGCGGCTTTGAAGATCTTTGCCACAGTTTTCTCATTCTCTTAAAATGACATGAACTCTTTGTTTAAAATAGAAACAAAAGGTTAAGCTATTGCCAGTCAACTAAATTTTTTTGTGAGCCATGAAAGGGACCATTCCTAATAACAGACATAACAGTTTATTTGAATAAAATTTTGATGAAAAGCAAAACTAGCAGAAATGGGAACGTAAAGAGTCAAAGTAGCCGCGAAATAAGAAACACAACCGTTCTAAGGGAGTTTAGCACGTTGCTCAAAATTATTAAATCTAAGGAGCAAAATTTTTTTACGGTTAACTCTTTCTACCCTATTTACGGATAACGGTTAAAATATTTCAATTTTTACGGCTATCGACTAAATTTTGGGCCGTTGTACGCCTATCGGTTAACCCCATTGAAACCCTCTTACAATGCCGCGTGTATCAAATGAATATTGTATTTTAGTAGTAAAATGCAAAAGAAAATGATTCTGAGACCTCTTCCTCATTACTAGTGCTCATTCTAATACCCCACATCTCGCACTACAAGTTTGGCACTTAGCAAAATTCAGAAGTGGGTGGTCGAAACGGGTGATTTTGGAAATTGAATTAAAATATGATTTTTTCGAAAGTTTTGGCTCAAGGCCCATTGTTACCCTGCATACTACATAGTGGCAGATTGACCTGACTGAACAGTCCCGTCTGATAATGAATTCTTCATAACAAACGTTTTATGTTGTTTTTATTTTTATAATTTGTTGTGGAAGGAAACCGAGTGCTTTGATTGTCCTGAATACTGGATGGGTGGAATTAGTAAAATAGGGCTAGACAAGTCGGGAAGAGGAACGAACCTCTGCCGACATCCTCGACAATTCATATTGAGCATGCTCCAAATTCAAATTTTTCTGCGACGTCAATCAAACCGTTACCGTAACATCCACTGTATTTGTCAGCAAATGTAAATGTTAGCAGGAACGTACCGGTTCGTTTTCACCCTTCCGTAGCTGTGTTTCCTCTGGATTTGGAAGCTCTATAGGACCAATTTCATTTTTTTGGAATCTAAACTTGCCATGTTTCAGTGTAAAGAAGTTAAAAGAAAAGCTTAGAGCTAAGATAAAACTTACGGCGCTTTTCAAAAACAAAGCATCTAACCTTGAAACACAGAAACACACAAAACGGATCGAAATCCACCAATCACAAATCACAAACTACGACCTTTTGGTTCCTAAGAGGTTCGCTAAGATGTAAAGGCGAGAAAGCGAAGAAAGTGCCGCTTCTTCAGATTTTAATTGACGTCGTAGAAAAACACAAAATCCCAAAACGTTTTTGGCATCGCAGGTCGGGTGTTATCCACAAACAGCTGTAAAAGCATCGATCCTTTAAATGCAACATGGGTTCATGTATTCTGCCTCATGATCTTGTTTTGAATTAATGTCATAGCAAACGCAAAAGAATAAACATAGATATTGTTTCTTAAATATTTTCATTCAAAACCCATTTGTTTATCCTTCCAAAAACTTCGCGTAACACTTACTGGATTGTGGATCCGTTCACCCAAGTAAAATCGGCCTTCTACATGGTTAAATCCAAAACAAAGTCCATCTCGAATCTGGGTACAGTAGTATAAGAGGGACCGAATTAACCCCTTTTTGCGCAGGAATCTCATTAGCGTGCGCAGAAATACATTAGCTAGGTGACGTCATAGGCTATTGTCTTGATCTCATGAATAAAATGCGCAGGAATCTCATAAAGATAAGGTCATGTGCTATTTTTAGATGGATGATGTCATGGTTGGTATAACCGGTTTGACAGGTTTTAGTTATTTTCGGAAGATGATGTCATATGTATTCCGAGGTACTATGATGTCATAGTTGTTTTGATTGGTTGACCGGAATTAGAAAGACGCTCATTGGCTGTCTCCTTTGACGAAGCATTCTGGTTGGTTGCCGTATTTTTTTATTGTTTGAACGGCATAAAAGCCTGCTCACTGCCAAGCGCATACTAATTTGGATTTCCTGCATACCAATTAAGTGTCGTCCTGCAAACTAATTCGGTATAGGTTTACTAATGAGCGTTTCTCTACTACAACAGGAACAATAGGCTTGCCTATACTTGCCCGGTAAGTAACTTAATTAAAAGGAAAATGAGAGCGATCACCTAGCAACGCCAGAAACAGCTTCCTATATCTTATTTAGCGCTAAAACTCGGATATATGTAAACAAGACATACACAAAGGGGAGCTGAAAACGCTTTATTTCAAGTGTCTGACTATTACAGAACTGTTTTCTCCGTTTTATCTCGAGGAAATGAAAAACTATTGAAGTCTTGTCATTTTCACGCGTCGTTAGTTAGGTAATTATGCGAGTTCACAAGCCCAAAGTTGAATACAAATTAGCTCTACAGGAAAAACCTCAAGGGAGCAACCTTGACGTATTATTATAAAACAAATAACTTAACAAGGATCAATTAAAACACGCGACTCATAATTGCTAGCAATAAAACCAGACAAGAGAGATACCGTTTTAAAAAAACTTTATTGAAAACCAGTGACAAAAAGAGTCAAATACACAGCGATTTGGAAGGAATGGAAATTAGGCCTCCTCTTCGTTCTCCTCTTTAGAAGGTGAATAAAAATTGGTTTCCAACGTCTTGGCGTTTTTGTGTGTAATTAATCCACAATCGTGACACCGAAGAAAGCCCTCTTTGATGTATTTTCTCTCCTCGGGGATTTGGTGATCGCATATAGGACAAATCTTGCAGTTATCGTGCCAAAAGCA